AGGGCTCAAGCATTAGTAGTTACTACTGAAAATCATAGAAAAAGAATGGTCATTGACTACTCCAGGACTATAAATCGTTTTACATTACTGGACGCTTACCCACTACCTAGAATCGATGATATCGTTAACAAAGTTGCAAATTATGAGTTTTTCAGTACTATCGACTTGAAAAGTGCGTACCACCAAGTAAAGATAAGAAATGAAGAAAAGCACTACACAGCTTTTGAGGCCTGTGGTCAACTCTACCAGTTTAAACGTATCCCGTTTGGGGTCACTAATGGGGTGGCAGCATTCCAACGTGTAATTGACCAAGTCATCCGAACAGAACAGTTACAAGACACTTACGCCTATCTTGATGATGTCACAATCTGTGGAAAAACACAAGAACAACACGATATAAACTTAAAAAAGTTTATCGAAGCTGCATCCAAATACAACCTAACTATTAATAATGAGAAGTCTTCATTTTCACTGCGATCGATCAACTTGTTGGGCTATCATATATCAAACAAAACTATCAAGCCTGACCCCATTCGCCTAGATCCTTTGAAAAATTTACCTCCACCCAGAGACACCGCATCACTGAGGAGGACCCTTGGTACGTTTTCACATTATGCATCATTTATACCAGATTATGCTACCAAAGTGATTCCACTTGCGCGTACTACATTCCCTTTGTCCAAAGCAGGGCTCCAGTCTTTCGAAACTATAAATAATCTAATAATCTATAAATAATAACTATGAAATAATCGGATCTGTAGTAAGCTGCATTGACCCTGAAGCACAGTTCATTGTAGAAACTGATGCATCTGATAGTACCATTGCTGCTACTTTGACTCAATCGAACCGGCCAGTCGCATTCTTCTCAAGGATACTTTCTCCAGCAGAACAAAGACATTCAAGTGTCGAAAAAGAAGCACAAGCTATTGTGGAAGCACTGCGGAAATGGCGTCACTATTTGGTTGGTAAACATTTCAAGCTGATTACTGACCAGAGGTCGGTTTCTTTTATGTTCGATAACAACCGTCATGGCAAAGTGAAAAATGAAAAGATAATGAGGTGGAAACTGGAATTGTCGTGCTTTCATTATGATCAAATCAAATCAAATCAAATCAAACATACTTTATTTCCAAAAAATAATACAGAATATAAATTATAACATAACTTCCAGTGGACAGACACCCTACTTGCTATTGCATAGATAAAAATACCTAATTAAATATAAAAATACAAATAAACTTAATAATAACAACAAAGGATGTAAGGTCTCAGAGAAGCTATGTTAAACATATACATTAAGGAAATAAGCCTACATGGGCTGGAAGCCTGTGCGTAGGCTCAGTCGCTATCAGTGACTGACATAGTCACTGCAAGGCTTATGATATTGTATATAGACCCGGTAAAGATAAAATGGCTGCAGATGCCCTGACTAGAGTATGTTCTTCAATCCAAAATCAAGAAAAACTGTTGATTGATTTACATGCGAATCTATGTCATCCAGGTGTGACACGTTTGTACCACTGGGTTCGAAGTAAAAACTTGCCCTACTCGATTGATGAAATCAGACGAATAACAAACTCCTGCAATGTGTGTGCTGCTGTGAAGCCTAGATTCTTCAAACACAAAGGGATTTTGATTAAAGCCACTTCTGCATTTGAACGGCTGAATATCGATTTCAAAGGCCCGCTGCCTTCATCAAATCGAAACCGTTACTTATTAGTAATAGTAGACGAGTTTTCACGGTTCCCTTTCGCTTTCCCTTGTTCAGACATGTCATCGTCAACAGTTAAGTCGAAACTAAAAACATTATTTTCTACTTTTGGGGTTCCTAGTTACATACATTCGGACAGAGGAACATCATTTCTGAGCCAAGACTTAAAAAGCTACTTGAACTCACTTGGAATCTCAACTAGTAGAACCACTGCGTACAATCCAGCAGGTAATGGGCAAGTTGAAAGGTATAATGGCATTCTATGGAAAACAATTGAACTGGCGTTGAAATCACTTAACTTAAAAAATACAACCAATGGGAGACAGTTTTAGAGGATGCCCTCAGCTCAGTGAGATCATTACTTTGCACAGCCACAAATCAAACTCCTCACGAGCGTATGTTCTTACATCCACGTAGATCTGGGAACAATGGTGTTTCAGCTCCTTCATGGCTTCTCAATTCCGGCCCTGTCTACTTGAAGAGATTCAATCGTACGTCCAAGTATGAGCCACTTGTTGAAGAGGTCCAACTTCTTCACGGGAATGCCGAGTATGCTCATGTTAAGTTGCCTGACGGAAGAGAAACTACCGTGTCTACACGTCATCTTGCTCCGGTTGGTGAGTACCAAACCGACATAGAGCAAACCGATTTTGAGAGTGATGAAAATATTCTATTACCCACTTCTCAACCTGAACCTGAATACTTTCCTAGTCCATCATCAACACAGAACCAAGAAGATGAAATGAATACTACTGCCGAGAATTTACAACCTAGACAAGAAGCTTCTAGAGGAGAGAACCATAACACATATCCGAGAAGAAGTTTCAGAAGCAGAAGACCTCCTAATTATTTAAATGACTACGTTCATTAACATTAGGGAGGAAGAATGTAGTAAAAAACATGTGTCTTCAATTCTTTATTATTGTTTTGTTGTGTTTGTAAACAAGTCCATTATAATTCAATGTAGTATTGTTCAAGTTATTAAAAACCTTTCTAAAGGTAATAAAAGTTCTTTTCATTCATTCTTACTCTCATTACATCGGGTTAGCTTATACATATTGTAAGGTTCAAGAATATTATTGAATTCAAGAAAGAAGACCAGAAATTCATTTATTGGTATAAAAGTTCTCGATAATCGGGTTGAAAATTGTCTCATAGATGAGGAGAATGAGAGCTGTGTTCAAGTTTTGAAATAGACTAACTACGGAGTATGTTTCATCTATGGTTTTGGTGAAGTAGGTAAATTAATGTCAATTCAGGTATTTAAAAAAATGTGTACAGGGTTTTTACTTTGATGTACACATCTAGCTATGCATAATTTGTTACCAAGGCTGGATTAGGTTATGGATTTTGTTCCGCAAATGTTCAAGATTTGTGGTCAAATTTCCTACAATTATGGTTCATTCCATCCACGAAATACATGCACAGCTTTATGTGATCGATATGGCCATTGCAAAACTACCCCATAAGTTAATCAATTAGCAAGTAGGCCTAAGTACAGATTGATTAAATACATGGGTCGATGTGGCAAGAGAAGGAATTAAAATTGCTTGGATCGAAGTAAGAATGTTACCGCTTTCTGGAGAATCAGATATTTTTATCAAATACAAAAAAGATTTAATATGCCTCCCGCTGATAAAATTCTGTATTTTTATGACCAAAGATGGTGATTCACTTATACAATCCAAATTCAATCTGAATGATTTTCCCAAAGCAGATAGAACCTGTTATTTTAGTAATATTGACTCTTTCCCTCAGATGACAGACCAATTATCTGAACTCCTTTCCCCATACGGTGAAAGAGGCTTTAACATGAACAAAATGTATGAACAAGAAACAATTGTAAGACTCCTGAAAAGCCTTTTGGGCAACCTAAAGCCGATGAAAGAACAAAAAAATATTGAATTCAACGAATTCATCAACCACGTTTTTAAGGTACACTATCGTCTTACTCATACCGGTAATTATGTTTATCCTCCCTAAGATTTTAATAACTTCACTCTATCCATCGCAGTTAGCTGAATTTACGTAAAACCTCAAGAGTAACCGTCGATTTCGACGGGATTCACCTAGTACTATATAAATCCTGCTAAATCTGAGCTGTAATAGGCTTAAAACATGTACCGGTACAACATGAAACATAACTACGTTTGACACCTTCTGACATAGGTACATGCATAAGTAGATTTTCATCTACAATTCAATATTAGAGGATCAAGGCTGTTCAATTTAAAACAGTAGGTAGGTACCATTTTATTTATTAAAAGCCCAATTACAAAAAAAAGATGGGCTCACATTGGAACTGCTATAATGTAAGAAATACGGTAACTAACTTCAGAAGTGAACACAATCAACACAAATCCCCGGAAAAGATCTAAAAGTCACATTTTTTATTATTTTTAGTGCCTCGAAATTTCGAATATCCCTCCATGTTATTATATAGCTCAAAGGTGGCTTACTTTGGTATGCTGACCTGAACCGTTTAGGTAGGCTATTTATGTGATAGAGACTTGAAATTTGCCAAGGATGCAATCTAATATGGCACCACCCACAAGAGGGTGTTCCATTGTTGAAATGTTCCATATTACCGTAGGTCTCGTGGTAAGACATGGGCCAAGGGCCGATCTACTCTCTTGTTTTGATCAAATGTGGCATAAACGTGTAAACTTACATGTATTTGAACTATTTCGAAAACCAGCATGGTATAGGACTATGGGAAAGGGAAATTATGGGGTAAAAACTGTTTTTACCCCATTATTAAATCAATTTTAAATCTCCATGTTGTTTTTATGAATAAATAAACTGTTGCAGTTGCTTGTTTATGGATATATACAGGGTGATTGATATAAGTGTGCCAGCTATTTTATTCGAAAGTTACAAGAGATATAACAAAATGTTAAATTGTAACTACCTTGGATTTTTTATCAAACAAATTTTGGTCAAGTTCAAAAAATAATTTTTGCCGCCATTTTCCTATATGGCCGCCAACTTTGATTTTTCTTAAGGAAGACCCTATATTTTATGATTTGTTTTAGAAAGTAAGTGCTTTAACTTTCTAAAACAATCATAAAATAGGGTCTTCCATAAGAAAAATCAAAGTTGGTGGCCATATTGGAAAAATGGCGACAACAATTATTTTTTGAACTTGACCAAAATTTTTTAAATAAAAAATCCAAGGCAGTTACAGTTTAACATTTTGTTATATCTCTTGTAACTTTCGAATAAAATATAGCTGGCACACTTATATCAATCACTCTGTACAGTGGCGAAAACTGTATTTGTTTTCCAGATGACATTTGTAAGCAACAAGATGGATTGTTGTGGGCTTGCCAAAACCTGAGAAACTGCCCATCAGCTCAAGCAGACCTGAAAAGAGGGAAAAGACCAGAAATTTGTACTTTCGTTGGAAATAACCCGATTGTATGTTGCCAGCCTGATCTCAAAAACAGGATGCCACCTGAATCCCAGAGGATCAGTTCTCAGAGTGAGTAGAATCTATATAATTAATACGCTACATGAAACTTTGTCGGTTGAACTCCTCCGCCATTTCTTAACCGATTTTATCCATTGACGTCTCATTGGAAAGAGTGTGTCGCGTAGATTTGCAAACTGGCCTTACATTTTTTTAAAAGTCCCGCCCCAGTGGCTTTGAAAGTTCCCATGTTATCCTTCTGAAGAATCCATAAACAACACAGTCACAAAACAGTTGCACGCGTAACTGGTTTCCAACGACAGTTGTAAAACAGTCACACCATGTGCGCTGGGCCTTATGTGTGCGAAAGCCTCACGGTTTTCATTGTTTCCTTTGTTGTCTGATAGAGAATAAAGTGCACATTGCATGAGTAAATTAATTTTCACATCCCAAAATACCAAAGATCTTTGCCCAAATATTTTTTTTTACATTGCTAAGGGTAATATTACTGATTATCCACAGCCATGCTGCTATAAGATGAGAGAAGGAGGTATTTAGAGAAAACAGCCACAACAATGTAGGCTGTTTCTTCCTTCCTAATCTTTCTAAATAAAAATCCCAATTGTGTCTGAGAGTTCCTGAGCCAAAAACACTATCGGCATTGAAAAATTCAAAACTTAATTAACTTATATAATATCTCAATTAATCTTTTAATAATATCTTCTAACTCCATTGAACAGGGGTTTTCATCATTTCCGTAAAGCAGCATAGTTTTTTGATAACTTCAAATAGGGAATAGAAAAACATATGGCATTTTTTTTCGGTTTGCTAACCTCAACATTTTATAAATACTTAAAATTTTATAAACCGGAAGTGCTGCTAATCACATGATGTTTTAAGTCATGTTTGAAAACAAACAGAAATGTAAACATTGATGATGACTTTGTATAACCTCAAATCATGTGGTCTAGTAATTTTATAATGATTAGAAGGTTATTTCCACAGTATGATAGTTCATCACACAGAGCAAATTTTTTTTTTACTTTAGCTTACTTTATTTACTGCTTCTGTCTACAATTAGTTTGCTCATATATATACTTGTACTCTGAAAGATATTTCGTTGTACTAATCTAATAATCATGACAACATTGAATAAAGAAACTGAAATTAAATGAATACCAAAATGTATTCTAAGATAATAAGATAAAATCAATTTTCTATGTGTTAACAGGTATATACAGGGTGTTTCAGAATTCGTGTCGGATATTTTAGCGTATTGTTTCTGGGTAAGAAACAAATCCAAATATCATATTTAAATTGACCGGAAGTCCTTAGTTACTCACACAGCCGCCATTTGGTTTTTTTCACTTATTAATTGTTTTATAAAAAATGGTAAGAGATAAAAAATTGAAACTTTGCAAAAACATTTATGACAACTAGACAAAGCTACAAAAAAAAATATGAACATTTTTTAAATTCATAAAACAAAATGGCGGCCATTTAAAATTTGTTTCTTTAATTACTCAAAAACCGCTGGGTTTACAAAAACTTTACAACAATAACTTCTTTAAGATAATTTAATTACAAATCGATTGACACCTTAACCTTTAAGATTAGATGAATATTAACTGAGTTATGGCAGCTTTAGTAATACGTGATCGCTGGAGGTTAGATGTAGTGCATGCCGAGGCATGCGGCCTAAGTCTGCCACAACAATGCAACTGTCTGCGTCCGCTTTGCAAGTTATTTTTAAACGATATTAGATTATTTCAAACAATAATAAAATATTACATAACCGCAAAAGTGTCTTTTTTATCAATTATTAATCATTAGGATGGCTTTCACACCTATTTACTGTTTTTAAAATTCACACTAAACAACCTATTTTTTTAAATCAGCTGTGGTTAAATTAAACATACTTGTTTACAACTAATCAGCTGATTTTATTTTGTCTGAAGATGTTATTGTTTATTCAATGTAGTCAGTACCTCTAACCTTATACAGTGGCAGTACACTTTAAAAGTAAGTGTAAAAAGTTAGAGGAACTGACTACATTGAATAAACAATAACATCTTCAGACAAAATAAAATCAGCTGATTAGTTGTAAACAAGTATGCTTAATTTAACCACAGCTGATTAAAAAAAATAGGTTGTTTAGTGTGAATTTTAAAAACAGTAAATAGGTGTGAAATTTTTAAGCCATCCTAATGATTGATAATTGATAAAAAGGACACTTTTGGGGTTATGTAATATTTTATTATTGTTTGAAATAATCTAAAATCGTTTAAAAATAACTTGCAAAGCGGACGCAGACAGTTGCATTGTTGTGGCAGACTTAGGCCGCATGCCTCGGCATGCACTACATCTAGCGATCACGTATTACTAAAGCTGCCATAACTCAGTTAATATTCATCCAATCTTAAAGGTTAAGGTGTCAATCGATTTGTAATTAAATTATCTTAAAAAGGTTATGCTTGTACAATTTTTGTTAACTCAGTGGTTTTTGAATAATTTAAGAAACAAAATTGTAAATGGCCGCCATTTTTGTTTTATGAATTTAAAAAAATGTTCATAATTTTTTTGTAGCTTTGTCTAGTTGTCATAAATGTTTTTGCAAAGTTTAAATTTTTTTATCTCTTGCCATTTTTTTAGAAAACAATTAATAAGTGAAAAAAAAACAAAATGGCGGCTGTGTGAGTAACTAAGGACTTCCGGTCAATTTAAATATGATATTTGGATTTGTTTCTTACCCAGAAACAACACCCTAAAATATCCGACACGAATTCTGAAACACCCTGTATATTTGTTTACTATTATAGGCTTTAAAAAGGACTACAATAAAATATTCTACATTCCAGATCAGTTGAAAGAGTCAAAGAAAATATTTTAGTGGGATAATGTGAGAAAACATTGTACCAGTATATGATTTTGTAAAAGTTTTTTATGTGTTTTAGAATGCAAGGAGTATGGAAAGGCTGTATTTAACAAAGTCGAAAGCCCAATAGGAGATGGGTTCATAGAGATAGATACTTGCGCTTTGGTCGAACCTCTGATAACCAATGGTACTCCAGCCAACCCCAGAGAATACCCCCATATGGTGAGTGGACCAATTGTTGACAATCTGACAGCTATATAGTATATATTCAAAGTTATTTATTTATTTTGAAATATATATACCTAATAAGATGTTTTAGTAGTATACTTTTATACCCTGTTTGATCAGAGAGTGTGACTGGCCGAAGAGGGAAGAGTCTGCCCTCCTCACACACATACAGACGCAAGGGATTAGGGCAGACCATCAAAGTGTGTGGATGCATGAATCTCTCACCTCTCAGAGGAAGGGGTGTATAAGGCCTCTTTTATGCACGGCGTTTTCGGTCGGGCGAAATCGTTGGGCGGAATCGATGTCCCTTTTATGCAGTTTCTCCTCCGAGCGGAATCCGCTGATGCCCATGGTGGGGTGGTCAATGCTACCAACTTCGTTCATTTTACCATCGTCAGTGACCCAAGATAGATCCTTGTGTATTGGTGTATACTTATTTGTACATGAAGAGAAATAGACGAAGGCGAAGGAAATGAGATGGGCTGTACACCCGGTTAATGAAAGTCGTAGGGTGGATGGGGCTTTCACAAACCTATATGGGTTGCTGCGAAATGATGGGGAAAAGTTTGAGAAGTTCCTACGAAACAGTAAGTTTGTATTATTCCGCGGATTTAAACAAAAATGTAATTAATTGTCATGCAGCAATTTTTTCCCTAATTACATCACTTTATTTGCACTCTTCAATCAATTACAATGAATAATGATATTCTATTAACAATGATTACCGTAGGTGATTTCAATACTGTGGACGAGAGAGCGTGGGGTAGGTTGGCAGCACTACATTCCGCCCGACGGGAAACGCAGTTGCATAAAAGGGTTCCATTTGAACCTATGTAAAAACACGCTCCACGAAACGCCGAAACTCGGCGGAGTCTAAGTCCTCCGTCGGCCTCCGACGGAATTCTAAAACGCGACGGAGATTCCGTCGTGCATAAAAGGGTCCCATTTGATCCCATGTTAAAACACTCACCGACGGAAAGCCCGATAGATTCTGATAGATTCCGCCCGACGGAAAACGCCGTGCATAAAAGAGGCCTAAAGCTCAGCTCCACCAGTCCCACTCCCTGAGCAAACAGGGTACCCATAAGTTGTCGATTCTATCCTAAAAGAAATCGGAACCACTTTAAAAGATGTTTTCCTTTCTGAAACTTGTGTGTTAATGCTGTTTGCGTTTTTATCCATATGTTTTTAAAAGGTAACAGAAAAAAGACCAACACTCCCTAGTGGTATTGTTTGTGTTGTTAATAAACGTACACAGCTGTATTTGTTCATTGGGCTTTTAATAAATGATCCTAGCTAAAAGAACAGTGGTTGATCTCAGTCAGTAGCAAACCTATTCAAACCAGCTTACTCCATTATACACCCTGTTTTTAGCATATTATGCTTAAAATAGTTTCACATATAAAAGTGAGACACCATCTTCATTGTATTTGTATTTTGCTTACTAACCTTCAAATGTCAGAAGATTTGGGGGTTATGATATATGGATAATTGGTTAGTGGTTAGATGGGTTCTGTAGCACAGATCAAAGAAATGTCAAGAACCAACTTCCAAACTCAGTCACAAATATGGGATATGCTACAGTATTAGATTAGCAGAAATTAAGAATGGACACTGACTGTGAAATAATGTGATGTATGTTTGAGAAAATGTGAAAATGGGAGGAATAATTGTGACTATGCTGTGTGTTTGTGTTGAGAAAACCTCCAGCAACTTAAACCAAGAGACAATCTAGGCTCTTTCAGTGAATAAGCACAGTGAATCCCTCACCTTTTTGAGAGTTTTGTCTGATTTAGATTTCAAGTTCAATAGTGTCACAATCCTAAGGGAGGAGTTTTCACTTCATATTCAAGGGGCAATACTGTAAATTATAATGAGTAGGTATTGCCATCTAGACTACATCAAATAACTAAGGTATAAGTGTGAACATTATACCAATTTGTAGAAATTGAGATATTTTCAGGCCCTGATTGGCTACGGACCAAAGAACAACATTGATTGGCTCTGTGGAGGGAGTCTGATCAGTGAACGGTTCGTTCTCAGTGCTGCTCATTGTACTAATGCTGGGAGTAAGTAAGTGGTCATTTATGTACAATCTAATCTCTCTGCATACATAAAAACAAATAATATAAAAACATCTTCTTAAACATTCGCATTCAAATTTCAAATTCGTTTATTCAGCGAAAAGTTATACTTTTACCTGAATACCTATACATTTATCAACATTATAATAATTTATCCCAGTATGAAAGCGGTTGATTAAAGTTTACTGCTTTAAATGGAAATATTTTCATCTTCTGAGGTAGTTTGGTCTGACGTCATACGTTATTCCAGCGATGGACAAGCCCCATGACAATTTTGATCTGATTTCTAACAACTAAAATGGTGTATAGAGCCCAAAATTTGGTTTCAGGACCTCAAGAAAACACTCAAAGATACATAGTAAAATCTTAGAGAACTCTTTAAGCAGATTATTTTTTAATCGTATCTAAGATTGATCAATATTGCTGAAGCCCTAATAAGAGTGCTTATAATTATTGTCATGGCCTTTTTTAAGTAGGTTGTTTATTTCACAAATATGTAAGCTACCTACATTTACCAATAGAACGGTTTCCGGGGATAAAACAGTAGCGTGCATTGGTTCCCCATTGCCTAAGCAAGACATTTTTTGGTAAAATAGGTAGTTAAAATTTGTCAAAGTTTGTACGAGAGCTCATTGAGATCGTTCAGAATCTACTCAGTTGAGTCAGTTCTAGCGAAATTAACGGAGGCTGACTCCAAATCAATAGTCAAAACTGTTTCTCTAAACTTCTGTCTCAAAAGTGAACTTATATTTCACTGGTTACCTGAAATTACTCTCATGCCATCTTTCTCTCTTCCCCTAGTTGAGCGTCAAACTTGTCAGCTAGAACTCACCAAATTGTTTCTACACTAACCCTCCATTGTAGCGTAGCACTATACAGAACTATAGATGCAACATGAATTACAATACCAACATTTATTTCTTCCAGAGGTTTAGCCAGCTGGGTCAGACTCGGTGACTATGACATATTTTCAACAGATGATGACAAGAACAGACATGCAGAATCAAGAGAATATCAGATTATTGAGAGGATAAACCACCCGGAATACAAGAGCCCTAGTGTGTACAACGACATAGCATTGTACAAGCTTAAGGACACAATCAAATTCAACGAGTATGTTCGGCCAATCTGTCTTCAGATCGATCATACGTTTGCCAAGACTTACGCGCTTGGTACAGGATGGGGGCGAGTGGAGTGGGGTATGTTATGGTGAATTTTGTTTTAAAATACCATATTGTTACATGTTAATTTAATAGAATGAAATTAAAAGAATACTTTACTAGAGGAAATTTTTTATAATTTACTAAATTCGTCAATCTTATTTACAGAGTAATTAATGAACAACAGAAAACCATGTGTTAACAAACATATTTGAATTCTCATAAGAACGTCAAAGAGTACTAAATATAATAAACATAGTCAAATAGTTATTATATGCAACACTTCCCCTACTCAAGGCTTCCTTAGAGACTTCAAAGGAACTTAAGCTAGTCCAATTTGCTGTCTTAAGCCTTTAACCTTGGTCAAAGAAGGGGTTTTGTAAACAAATCAGCTAGTTGTTCACTTGTGTTAATTTTCTTACCTTTGAGGTTTCCCGCTGCCACTTTTTCTCCCCATAACGGCACTCATCCCAAATTGTTGTGGTGTGTGTGGTATTGTGATTGTATTCCATTCACTTGAAGGACTTGTCTAGTACTTTCGTTGTCGAACTCACCTCCTCCACTTAACATCTCAATTTACATATTATATGGCCTGTGACTTTGACTTCTGCAAGAAACTACTTCAGCTTCTCTACAACTTGAGATTTTGTCTTCATAAAATAAAAACTGTGGTAGCAATAAAAGTCATCCTTGAACAATATAAAATATCTTGAACCTCCATTTGACTCAAAGAAAGGTCCACAAACATCAGAGTGAACGATTTCACCAGGTACTGAAGCTCTGTGTTCATCTCTACTTCTGAATTGTGCTCTGTGCATTTTTCCATAAGCACAACCTTCACATATCTCATTGTCAAGCTTGAGATTAAGGTTCAGTTCTCAGTTTTGCTTTTCTGTCCTAGTCGTTTATGAAGTAACTGTAAATGATTAACAGCTGGAACTTCTTCCATGACAGCCATGAGGTCTACTGATTTTCTTACTGCTAACTTAAACAAGCCTCTGCCTTGACTTCTATGTCCTTTGATGAGTGGTTTACCATTTTTATCAAACAAAGTGCACCCCTTAGATGTCGATACAAATTTACTATTTACATTTAAATCTTGAGCAGCGGTTACTGAAAATAAGTTAGCAAAAATATCAGGTATACCATACATTGGTTAGCTTTACTGGATTCCAAATCCCATCCAAATTTGCTTCCATGCAAATTGTTCCTCTACCAATAGCACTTGTCTGTTGTTCATTTGCCATTGTAACTGCATGAGGTAACTCAAATTGTTCAAAGTCAGTGTTTGGTTTTAATTTATTAATATATTTGAATTTTCTACTAGTACCAGGATTTCCAAAGATAGCTTATCTTATCTGACCTACTTTTCCAGTCTGCACTGTCCACTCTTGCATTAGTTAACCCAGAGTCAATCTCCCCCTTCTAAATGTCAGAGAGTGCCTTTAATTTGTAAAAATACCAAAGTGTTGTGACGGGAAGACCTCTAAATGATTTTGTGACCTTCCACCTTCTACGGATTCTACGGCTACGCAGAATCCCCTCATCTACCCGCTCCTGGAGAAGATTCACTCCTTCAAAGACTGTCCGCCCCTGGTGATCTTCTTGCTCCCCGCTTCAGTCTACCGTCAGGCATCTCCACCAAACCCAAGGACTCAAATCTCAAGTAACGAAGGACGACATTTCCCGCCCCGCGTCAGTGGTGCCGGTACCGCAGGGCGTGAATTCCCGCCCCTAGCACAGAACGTGTTAATGAAGATGCTAACATAAACATTACCTCTGACTGTGTTTTGTTATACTTATCCATCTTCATTATTTGTATTCTTTCATTAATGCAGCCTGTGTGTTATCTTTAGGTTTCTCTGGCAATTCCATTTTGCCAGAAATTGCTTCGTAGGCATCTGGGATTCCTTTAAGCCTACCTAATTTGCATTAGATATTTCCAATCATCCCAGTTGTCCTTTCCATGCAGCAATTTCATTTTCTGCATAACGAATTCCATAGTAAAGATTTTGTCTCAAACATTATTCTACATTACAAACCTGTAACACACAATATAAGAGTGTCTGGGTCCAACACCTTTTATAAAATACTAATGTTACAAGTTAATTTAATAGAATGAAATGAAAAGCAATTTACAGAATAATTAATGAACAAAAGAAAACTATATGTTAAGAAACATATTTGAAAATTATCCTAAGGAAGTCAATGTAAGTGTAAATAATGTAATGTCTCATGTAAATGTAATGTAAGTGTATAAAATACCCCCGCCGCAGCAAACCTGCAGACTAAGTGAATTTCAACTTGTCTGATTACATTTTTACAAAAATATTTCCATAAACAAGACATATTTATTCCCTATTTCATTATTAACATTAGACATTTATTAACATTAGATTTAAGGTGTGCTTAGGTTTGCTGCTACGGGGAAGATAAAGTGTTTTTTTTAACCATACGTCTATAATATGGGATGAAATAAATAAATTTGCCAAATTTTATCAACATGTATCCAAAACAAGTAAACTACAACAGTTTTCATTTTCTCCATAAGAATAACATGGCAATTTAAAATTATTACACTATTCCCATAAACCCCCGTTCCCATGGTCCGATTATGCTGGAATGCGAACTCGTTCGAATAAACGTAGGTTTACACGTTAGAATAAACGTAGGTTTACACGTTCGAATAAACGTAGGTTTACACGTTCAAATAAATGTAGGTTTACACGTTTGTACCAAATTTAATCAAAATCGGATCATTTTTGCTCAAGTTGTCGCGCTAACGGACACATATATATATATACATATATTCATTTGAACGGATGGTGTTTTTGGCCTCTAGAGACCTCAAAATGAAAAATTAAATCGGCCCCGGGTCCAGGTCTTACCATGAGTACTACGGTAATAGCTTATTCCCTATGGGAAATTCGCTAAAAGTAACATGTAATAAGTGGTATCACTGAAAAAGTACTGGGTAAAAAAACTAAGCCAGACTAACCAACCAAGGCCAAGATTTACAGAAGTCTACTACACATGTAATCTTAGGACTACAAATATTTAACATATTCACTAACGGGTGGCCCTATATGGAGGAGAGTAGCGGCTGGTAGGGAACGTGTCAAATTAAGCTTATTTTGTTGTTGCAACAAAATGTTGAAACATAACAAGTATTTTCTTTTTAGGAGGAAAACAAAGTGGTGTTCTTCAGAAGGTGAACTTAACAATCATCGGAAGGAAGGAGTGTGTTGACACCTACAAGGCTTCTATTGGACCGAAACTCAAGAATGGAATTGTAGACGCATCTCAGCTGTGTGCAGGAGACCTGGCGAATGGGAAAGATACTTGCAAGGTACACTTGTTGCGTTTGTTTATTGTACTACCAGAATTAGGATGGTTAGGTCATGTAAAAATAATGGAAGGAGGAGTGGATAGAATCTATTTTTTCTTTCAAGTGCTTTTCAATGATTTTCATGTAAAATTGTATTAGAAACAGTCAATGACTACTTGCCTGCCACCGTCCCTCTCAGGATTGATTTTGTGTCTACGTCATTTCGTCATTTATAATTTTTTTATCGTTTTTGTAAGGTAACAGCTAATCCTGTAACATTGGTCTTGTTACTAACTAATTTAACGTCGAACATTTCATAGAAAACATCATTATAGATAGCTCAATGATAATTACCCAAACTAAACCTCTTTTGAAGGTGAATACTATACCAACTCAACTTTACAGTTTTATCATCATTCATTTTTGTCCGTTCCAGGGTGATTCTGGAGGCCCTCTTCAGATCCGACTGAGAGAGCCGTACTGTATGTACAGTCAAGTGGGGATTACTTCCTTTGGAGTGCGCTGTGCAGCGAACTACCCCGGAGTATACACAAGGGTATCTCATTATGTGCCTTGGATAGAGAGCGTCGTGTGGGCTTAGACAACAAACATCATCATCATTTTTAGACAACAAACATACGTTCAGGAGGTTAAGAAGTATAGTATAAACTTTAACTTTAAGTGAGTGAGGGCTTCTCAACTATCTGAAAATTTGTAACTATACGTCCAAAGGTTGCTGATTGTATAGTTCCATGGTACCTATCCACTATGCGAGTATGCTTAAATAGAATAAGAAAACAATTTTAATTCCTTTATAATAATAATGATGAACTAAAATAAATCCATATTGTACTTGACAGTATTTATTGTTGTTTACTCACCTCAGTGATATGTAATTACCTACTCAATACCAAAATTAGTCTTCCTACCTAACGCTCAGTTTCTTTTAGCATGTGTTTGCTTCTATGTGTATTTTTGTATTGCCCTACACTGTTTATAATAATATAAATCTCAAGTTACAATCATTATAATTATAAAAATATTGTTAACGGACGTTATGTCATAGACAAGTATAATTGACTGACTCATGTGATTATTATTGTATTTTTTGTGCAGTTAGAGCTAGATTGTAATTGTAGTATTATTTTATCCATTTGAGATATTAATGTTATGGACAAGTGTTTCTAGGAATTAAATAAAATATATATAAAAACTTTTGGTTTTAAAATGTATTTTTTATATTTTTCAAATTATATCTGTTGATTTCTTTATGACCACACTTTGGAGCGTTGTTTTACACAGTAAACACCCTACGAATTGCACACTAAGAGTTTTGACAGTAACTAGATGGGGCTATTGGCCACCACTGGTGCATAGCCTACCTATAGGCAGTTTGGAAAATATAAACCTTGTACATTATACCTATTTATTTTATTTTTAAACCACTACTGAAGCATTTTGATCAGGGAATCGTGTTTGGTCATTTTATATGCAATGCTAAGATCAAAAAATCAATGCTGTTGGTTTGCCTTATAATTGCTAGGTTCTTGATGATTGGAGAAGTTTAATCTCGATGTACATTTCGCCACCAGTGTGGCATCTTCAGGAGCTGATTTGAGTTTCTTATCACATCACTATCACTAAAAATTACTAAAAAAAACACTATACTATTTTTTAACTTATTTACATTTTAGTCGATGGACGATTTACGGCTCGAGTGTGGAGATGCGAGCGCATGAGCGTGTGCGCAGACCGGGGGCGTTACAGGTCTGACTGTGGCTTGAGGTGGTAGGTCAGGGGATGGGGGTGAGTTTATGATGTTAGAGCTTTCTCTTCTAAGACTGAGATGTAAATAAGTGGAAGGATAGGGTTTTTAGTGATAGTGATGTGATAAGAAACTCAAATCAGCCCCTCAGGGACATATTTAACAATGGCAAATTTTAGGGGCAGCAACATTTTGGGGGTTAAAAAATTTAAAAGTGAGGTTTTAATCTAAAAAAAAAATAACGATTGTCAAATAATTCTTGGAACAGAAAAACAGCCATTTGAAATATTTGAATTAAGTATCAAATTATTGCAGAACGCAGTCAAACAACAGTCAATAGTTTATAACACGGCTGTGCTGAGTATTCCGTGCTGTCCTATTAATTGGTCTGGCGGACATGCATGCCACGGCTGCGTAGTGGCGAACGAAGAAAATACTTCTCCCCTGTTAACTTCATACTGTAACCATACTTATACGCCACTACGCAGCCTCAGCGCTAGCTGAAAGGTTGAAAAGTTGAAAGAAGGAAAGTGCGAACAAAATACTTACTACTGTAACAACTTAATACATTTTAAATTATATATTATTCTTTTAAGTAAAAGTACTTACTTTTTTCTTTTTGATTCATGCGTTTTTTTTTTTTTTTTTTTTATAAAACAGTTCTATAAGTTAACATATTTGTTTCATTTCAAAGCCAATAGCATGTCTTTTAAGTGGATCTGACTGAAAGTGTTTAATGAGAAGCGTTATAAGATCCCCCTTGTATAGGCCTACTCCTACAGATGATTTTGTATGCCGTTTCACACTGCAACACACTATTATAACTACTGGTTGGGTAAAAAAAACGTTGCATTCTGTGTATCCAAGTCAGAATGACGTTTTGCATAAAAACGGCACAAAAAAGTCTGTTAAAAGGGCCCTAAAAGTTATTAAATTTGTTGATGCAGCATGCAATATTGCCGATTGTTCTACAAAATCAGTTGACAGGGTATGTATTGGCCATTGGGGTGATATTATAGTGAGGTCGCTGATAAGTGTGGGGGGGGGGCAAACTTCGTTGCCTAGAGGCGGCACATACTTAAATACGTCCCTGCAGCCCCTGAAGATGCCACACTGGTGGCAAAATGTACATCGAGATTAAACTTCTACAATCATCAAGAACCTGGCCATTCTAAGGTAAACCAACAGCATTAATAAATTTTTCTTGAAACTGGGAATACCACATAAGTCAATAAATCAATCATGACTACCAGTATAAATTTCATTTCGGTTTATGAGAACAGTGTATTACCCCACACGTCTGGGAAGTTGGATATTTTTTTACGGTGAGAAGCTTAACTTGGCAAGCCTTGCATGGGATTTCATCCGAGTATATACCATTAACACCAGCTTCCTGGGTGAATTGCGTACCAGTTGAACCTCGTTTGTACTAACCTCAATAAAACGAATACCTCGATAAGACAAATTTTTTTTAATCCCCTTGACACTTTCATATAGGTCAATGCTAAAAACACTGCTCTATACAACATAGTAATTAAGTTAAAAACCTCCATAAGACGAATTTGTTTGTGACATAGGCTAGGACTGATTTACCTCTATACAACAAATATTCTTAGCACAAAACCTCTACAAGACGAACGTGACCTCTATAAGACAAATTTATCATAATCTTAACCTCCATAGTACGTAGTTTTCAAAACAAACAGAAGCTTGTCTCAACATGAAACCCCCATGCACCCATCCCTCCTTCCTCAGTCATTGTTTGGAGAAACCTTGGAGCGAGGAGAAACCTCTATAAGAAGAATAACAGCAGCATTAAACCTCGATAAAACGACCCTCTTTATTAAGAATACCTCTATAGTACGAATTTTTCCCGTACCCCTTGAAATTCGTCTTATAAAGGTTCAACTGTATGATACTTTATTTTAAATTCTGTTTTATACTTTTTACTTTTTTCTGTGTCATAAACATATCTATGACAACATCTAACTCTAGGTCTCATAGCGATAAAAGAGTAAATATTTATTATTATTTAAATCAATTAATTCAAATTGATATACCTACACTGTATGGCAACAATTATATTTTCAATCTTTAATTATAAAGGCTGTATTTTATCTTCAAGGTATATTTGATTTTTTTTTGTCACTTCAATATACAATTGCATATATTTGAGGTTGCGTACATTTGCAAAGTACAATTCTTTAATGTTCTCATAAGAAATATTTACTGCTGTTTATTTTATTTGAACTCCAGTGTGCTTCAGTTAAGAGGTAACGGTTAAGCTTTTACAATATTAGGGTACTACATTAATCTATTTTCCCTTCTTCTTTCTTTTTCTTATTTACTGCTTTTTTATTATTTTTAACCATCTTTTTAAAAAATTTAGTTCCTCATTGATAACTTAGACGATCTGTGTGGGGTCCGATATGACGCTAATGTAGTAGCAGTAGCAAATGTAGACACCGTAAGCTTCCAAACCTGTTGAAAGTGAGATAAATATCTTAGTTTTTTAATTAAATCTAGGTAAACATATGTTTAGCATCATGAAGAAAATAAAAATAGACACATCCTTGTAAATTTTTACATTGATACAAGCAATCTAAAAATCAGCCAATTTTCCTGTATGAGATGACTTTCCAGGAAATAACTCATCAATTTGTTGACTCACAAGCAAAATTAGATTGAGTCAAAGATTCATTAATTTTACATTTACAAGTGAACCCTTAGAATGCTTTAAACATTTTCCCCTTATAGTGTGTCTTCCTTAAAGATCAGCTGATAACAAGTCTAGTCAAAGGTATGTTTATATTTGGAATTTGGGGATTATTATTTACTTATTATCATTTTACCGACTTAGAAATAATTTTGCCAAATAAAACTTATTTTGTGCTCACTTGCATTTACAACCAAAGAGCACATTTTGAATTTATCCTGAAATCTAATAAAACATGTTATTTTATATCAACACACAATTAACCAGGTATGGAATAAACATTAAAACAAGATTCTGATTTTACACTAGCATGAGAAGTCTATGTACAGCATTAAGCTAAAGTCAGTGATAATAATACAGTAGTTGGCTTTTTAAACCTTAAAAAGCAACAAAAAATTATTAATCCTACAGTCACCTGAAAAAGTGGGGGTCACCCCTACAGATTTATAGTACAGAAAGCCAGGTTTGGAGCGCCCTGGAGCAGGGATGGCCCAAGCCGCCCCCAGTACGGGGGTCTGTTGGGGCCCCAAGGTAGGCAGGGGGCTCTCCCCCAGAAAATTTTTTGAAAAATAATAACTGTAAACTAGCTTTTTTATGCAATCTAGACAAAATAATTTCTTAAACATAAATTGGTACAGTAGAGTCCCGCAAACTCAGCACTCGATAACCCGGCAGTCTGGATAACTCGGCCATCACCTGGTTCAGAAAATTAGTGATTTTTTGAGTCCGAGTTAAAAATGGACTCAAGCCAGCGCTAGACAAAATCATTCGCAACTCATACCAAGGATTTGTTGTACTAAATCTGATGACTTAATACTGACTTGTAATAAAAATATTAATAAAAAAGGCGGTTAAAAAGCTTAAAAATTGTATTGTTCTTATTTTTAACCCTAGTTCCTGATAACCCGGTATTTCACAAACTCAGCACCCTTCCAGTCCACATTACGCCGAGTTTGCGGGACTCTACTGTAGTCAAATTGGGTTTATTATATTTTACCTATTTGATTAGGTTATTGGAAAATAAAAACATGAATTTAAATTAAGTTCATTGGACGGAACCTACTTAGAAATCTCCTCAAAACAGGATAGCTTTACTAAGTGCACGTAAACAGCGGGAACTGAGCAAAGGACGCGAATTTACAAATGGCGGGTAGATGTCGGTGACGTTTAAGCACTTAGTTAGAAGGTAATGACCCTTTGGGCGTTATCTAAGGCATAATTGAAGAGTACAAACATAAATCCTTTCCTAATTTTACAGGATTGTTGACATTGTGTAATAACTATAAATCGGGGTTTGGCGGGCCTAGCGGCTTTAACTCAACTCTCTGTTGAAAACTTACCACCTCACCACCCGCATACTTTGTAGAAATATTTTTAACCGAACTCATAGTTCATTGTTAGAGCGACTGCTCCACTCGCTAAAATTGTCGATACGCCACTGCAGAAAGCCTTACTTTGGCGGCTTGGCACACCGGCCAGTATTCCAACCAAACAACACAAAATAGCGTGCTTTTATTATGCACATAATCCGGTAAGCTTGAAAATAAGTTGGTAACAATTAAAGATATTACTACTACAATCATCTGGTGCAGCGTTTCCCATTTTGTTCAATGTTTGGATTTAACCTAACCTAATCACGTGTTGTTGTTTGAAAGACAATATTTATATGATTTATAGTAACTGTAGAGAAAATATAATGTGCAACACAAGTGCAAACTGCCTTTGCTGCACTCGAGAAACTTTCCACACTCGTGTCAATCTAGTTCATCAACTTGTTTCTATACTCAGACTCTGATGTACAGCGCTTTTTGACTCGTGTAGTGGCAATCATTAAACCAGTCAGGGGAGTTTGGCGAGAGAAAGTATGATGACTCATCTGGTATATTGTTTGGAAATGAGGAAAGTCCTACAAACATATTTATGATAACCCAACCTAAGATAACCGCCGCAGCGCACTGTGTAAGGGTGGCTTCCGGATAATACCAAAGTACCAAAAATTGTCATCAGTCATGCAGGTTGCATGAACTGTCCTCGTGGACTGTGTGAAGGCGCTATAATAGGGCATCCCTCATTGATGCTAAATAAGGATTTTCAATTCATTTCATTTCTTACTATTAGGAGGCTGCACTTTAGATTTGTTTACTTCGAGTCAGATAAAAAATGTTACTGACCTATATGGGCCTCGGGCCAAATCAGATCGGTTCAAAATCAGTTTGCTCATAGATTTGGTTGCAATCACGGTAGACTATTATTATAATGTTTCTTCCATGACTACGGGAAGTATTCACGATTTTGCCACGATCATGGAAGACGATGATGACGCCTCGGCATATGCCGTGCCAAGCTAAAGTGCAAATTTAGGCGGAAATACATGTGATAATGTTTTAAAAGATTATTGGGAAAGGCGAACAAACTTATGGGAGGGGGCTGCGGGCTCTTATTGCCGCCACTAAGTTAAACCTTAATCCCTTAACTTATTACTCACTTTTCCAAGTTATATAGAAGATGTAAAAATAGTTCATATTGTATTTTTCACTCTCCCTGATATATGATGAGTTGGTCAACACAATGTCTATGATGATCATTGCCAGCTGTAATACAACCCATTGCAGAATCAGTCGAGGTTTTGTCTGAAAAATTAGGTCACGTTATTGTCTAAAGTGGGTGGAAACTCCTCAAAGGCTAAGGCCCTAATCTTGGATAGGGTTAGGTAGGATAGGAGATAAGGAGATGATGACTATAACACAAAGCAGAAGCTGAGTATTATAGCCACCTGTCCCAATAGTTGGTGGGGTGAGTAGGGGTTATGTGTTTTGGGTTGTAGATTTGATTATATATTATTATATATTATATATTATATTAGTGTGGTCATTGTGATTGGTCTGACTGGTGAGGTTATAGACTGTGGTTGGTGTAATGATTGGTGAGGTTGATTATTGAGTGTGGTAATTGAGTGAAATGATTACAGAGTAGAATAAGAGACGAGAGAAAATAATTTAGCATCAGGCTTGAATAGTACGAAATAGGAAGATATTTTACCTTTAAATCAAGAGCAGTTAGAGTGAAATGAGGGGAAAACTTTGTTAAATACTTTGAGAGAGAAAATCTCACTAAATATAATTAAGAGAAAAAAATAATTGAGTACAACGGTTTTATATTTCTTCTGCATGAACACAGATCATAAAAACCAATAATAATACAAAAGCACATGTTATCTTACTATCTATAAAAATAAAATTAGAGTTTTGTCTGTACATTGCTCAGAATTATACATTTTAGGTTATTTTTATGTTTTATACATTAAAGCAGCAGAAACGACTGAAACGAGTCTTATCTCTATTTCTGTCTGTCTGTCTTTCTGTCTGTCTGTAACACTCGAGATGGCATTTTACGCTATCTTCTCCAGGAAAACGAGAGTACCTATCAAGATCCAAGTCATTTTAATGTATTCACTGGATTGGCGAAAGTGTCTTTAGCCATTAAAATATGGCCTCACTACATTGTAAATAAAATTACGGACGTTCAAAAATGCAGTTTTGTGCGATTTTTGTCAAGTTTTGTCAAATTTTTATCATATAATCTATGAAATAACGAACAGCTGTTCGGATCGAGATTATTTTTTCTAGCTGTCACTGATATGTTACAAATGTTGTTTACAAATACCGCAACCATTTTCGATCACATTTTGAAAGCAAATCCCAACCAAGTGAGATTAAAAATGTTTTTCTTACATAACGGATTTAATTAATCGCAAGTGCAATAATATAGTGTAACCGTAAATGAAAAGCATTTTTTAGTTTATTCACTGGATTTAACCTATGGACCAACACGATCCGGGTGACATTTAATTGTGAAGCATTTGTTTTGGTTTGAAACTGTGAGATACTGTATTTGATAAGGTTTATATATAATAGTTTTGCCAGCATATCTGAAAATATGCAGCTGTTCTTAATATAAAAAGGTTTCAACTGACTACGATAAGATCCCCGTGCATAGAACGGGCACCCATCTAGTAATATTATAAATGTGAATGTTTGTGTGTTTGTTTGTTTGTTTGTTTGAGGTTCAATCACGCATTAACTACTGGACGGATTGGGCTGAAATTTGGCATGATGATAGCCACATTCCCGATTAACATATAGGTATATTCTTATCTCAAGAAGAAAAGATAGACACTCTATATTACACCAAAATGAAACATTGTTAATGAAAAACAACTCGTTAGTGGAAACCAGCATCAATAATCTTGAAAAACAGCTTGACAATGAGAAGATCATATTGAGTAAATTAGAGCACATCTTTGAAGAATTGGACAAGGAAAAAAGAAGACACGTTAAAAAAAATATGAACAAGAAATTCAACAACTCAAACAGAACATAAAAGATCTGACACAAGAACACAATGAAGCTCAGCTGGATGAAAAAGAGGAAAATCTGGTTAGTACAAAGCCTGCTGTAGTCCAGACCCATCAATGTATAGCTGGTCACAGTCCTTTCCTCTTAGCTGAACTTGCTCAAATTAAAATGAAACAAAATCAAATGGAACACGTAATTAACAACACCACTTCTCTGATAACTCATACAAATCCTTCCACTCCAACATCAAGTTCATTAAAAAATAAAAGGGCTCAAAGAAATCATAATAAAACTAACATATTCAGCGTATCCCTGCAAAATGCAAAAAAAACCTAGAACAAACAAATCAACAACAGAACAAAATTGCTACTGACTGCTGAGAAAGAAACAGCAAAACCTTCAAAAGCACAACGTGGTGAGCCAGACAAACTCCAAAAAAAAACTGCAAATTGAAACAACAACCGGGAGAATCAGACAAACTCCTACTAAAAAAACTGCCAACCGAAACTACAACAGAGGGAGAGTCAGACAAACTCCTACGAAAAAACTGCCATCTGAGACCTCAACAGAGCAAGTATCAACCGGGGAAACCAGCCAAACCCCGCCAGAAAAACTGTCACAAGTGTCACAAACAGTAAAAGCTCGAGAAAGCCTGAAAGAGACTAGAAAATAAAAATAAACATCCACCCCTAAATGCTCAGACAAAGAGCAAAGACGAGGATTACAATGAATTCTTTTTAAAAAATATAGGATTTTATTCAGAACATATGAAGAAGCATTATGGATTCGTAGTAAAAAGCGAGGCGGCATCGCTACAGGATAATAACTTTGTATTTTCCTCACCTTCTCAGATTATTCCAATGCAGCCTGATTTTACTTTAAGAAAACTGCAAACATCAGCAGAGACAAGACAAACGCAACCTGGCTATTTTTTTAGACAATCGAGTCAGGATGTAAACTCCAAATTCATCCTGTTGCACCAAAATACACAGGAAGTCTCAAATAAAATAAATAGACTGCAGCACATTTTAGAAGAAACCAAACCTGACATAGTAATTTTGACAGAACATGGACTGAAACCTGACACAATAAACAGCACTGTCATAGCTGCTGGATTCTGCCTCAAGGCTCACTATAGTAGAATAGAACACAGAAAGGGAGATGTATGCATTATTGTAAAAGAAAGCCTTAAGAGTAGCACAGTAGCCATAGATGTTTCCAAGTACTGTAAAGAAATGTTATTTGAAGCAGCTCTTATAAAAATAACATTCAAGAACTCAAACCTGTTTATACTGGGAACCTACAGACCGCCAAACGGAGACCTTGAGGAATCATTAAACACATTTACACAACTAATTGAGGAAACAAAAATTGAAAATTCTCCTCTCATCATCATGGGAGATATTAACGTTGATTTGTGTAACCCTAACAGGAAACACATTATCTTAAATGAAACTCTTGCTTTGCACAACATCCAGAGACTATAGCTTCCCCCTACAAGAGTAACAAATCTAACACAAACCTCCATTGACTGGATATGTACAAATATGGATACAAACAAACTCACTCCAGAAATCATCAGTGCAGGACTTTCTGATCATACTGCTCAACTCTGTAGGCTACTATAAACTTCAACTCACGCATCAACTCCAGCCCAGTTATCCAGCCCAAATTGGACGCTGCCTAAAATATAAAAACCTGCAAGACCTCAAGTATCTTCTCAGTCAAGAAAACTGGCTTAGTGTTACCTCAATAAACAATGCCGAAGAAGCTTTTAAAACTTTTAGTAACATAGTGAGAGTAGCTATGGATGCAGCCTGCCCCCAAAAGAAGATAATAACACAAAGAAAACATAAGCTTAAATTCTCTATGGACCCAGAAGCAGTGAGACTCAAAGCCGAATTTCTTAAAGCTCTAAGAAAGTTTGAGGTGACGGTAATCCAGATGACAGAAGGGTTTCAATTGAAAATAAAAATAACTATGACCTGTACTTGAAAACGATGCGGAAAAAGGTTAACTCTGACCAGTTGATGAAAGCTGAAAATAAATCTAAAGCTATCTGGGAAACAATAAACAAAGTGTGGTCCAAAAAGGAAACACCCCTAAATGAAATAACCCTTCAAGTAGATGGCAAACTCATAAGTAATGTGACCGATGTTGCAGAGCATTTGAACACATTTTTTACACAGGTAGCAGAAAAAACAGTAGAGAAACAAAAACACCTAAAGAACACTGCTCAAACCCCACACGTAACTCAAACAGGTCCACCGTTTTCCTCCTTTCAAAACACGAACGAGAGGGAAGTTAAAATGATTATAAACAAACTTAAAGCAAAAAACTTGTCTGGAATCGATGAAGTCTCATCAAAAATACTTAAGCATTGCTGCAATGAACTAGCACTACCCTTGGCTGATTTAATAAATAAATCCCTAAAGCAAGGCATCTTTCCTTCACTACTTAAAATAACCAAAGTATATCCGAAATTCAAAAAAGGTAGCACATTAGAAGCAAGCAACTACAGACCAATTTCCCTCGTTTCCACCTTCTCCAAAATATATGAAAAAGTTGTTTTAAAAAGACTTTTAGACCACTGCACAAATCACAACCTGTTGAACAACGTGCAACATGGATTTACAAAAGGGAAATCCACAACAACAGCAATAATTCAGATGGTTGAGTCCCTGATTGACAGCCTAGATGAAGGAAATCGAACAACAGGAATCTTTCTTGATTTCAGTAAGGCATTTGACTGCCTTGACCACCAGCTAATCATTAAAAAGCTGAATTTCCTTGGGGTATCAGGGATAGTAAGAGAATGGTTTCAAAGCTACCTTACATGCAGGAGTCAGTTTGTAGAACTAAGGCACAGAGATAACAGCCAAATAAGAAAAGCAAGATGAAGTTTTCAACCAATAAATCGAGGAGTTCCCCAAGGGTCTGTTATGGGTCCGGTACTATTTATTCTTTTTACCAACGATTTGCCGCAACAAATAGGAGACGACTGCCTTACTCTTATGTATGCTGATGACACAACCTTAGTGTTTAATGAACCACAAGCTGAAAATCTAGAAGTAAAATCCTATGTGTCACTCAGTATGGCCTAAAAATACTGCTACAACAATCATCTCGCAGTAAACATGTCTAAAACAACTCAAATGGCTTTTGGCCGTAAATCTCATGAAGTGCCACGACTTCCAGATGTAGAAGTGGAAGATGAAGCTAAGTTTTTGGGCATTACACTCAACAAGAATTTAACCTGGACCCCTCATGTGGAC